ACACCAGCGACTCTGACAATAGGCGCTCACGTACCGGCTACATCTACCAGCTCGAGCCTATCGGACCTATCTCGTGGCAGTAGAGCAAGCAGGAACTAATCGCCCTCTCCTCAGCTGAAGCGGAATATATCGCACTCTACTCAGCCACCAAGAAAGGACTGTACCTTCGCGAACTGCTGGAGGAAGTGAAGCTGGCTCAGTTACCCAGCCTCTCCTTGTTCTGCGACAATCAGTCGGCAATCAGCATAGCCAACAAAAACGGATTCGCGAACAGAACGAAGCACATTCCCCTGCAATATTTCTTCGTGAAGGACGAGATCGAAAAGGGGAGACTCGAATTGTCCTACTGTCCTACATCCGAGATGGCAGCCGATTACTTGACCAAGAAGCTCGGAAAGCAAAAGTTTGAGTACTACATGCTGCTGACTGGACAAGGCCTCGTCACCAGCAGCGACACTCCAGAAGCGAAGGGGAGTGCTGGAAACAAGTTATTTAAGCGCTTCTGCAGTGTCGAAACACCAAGTCGTAAACGAAGCGAAGCACAACGAAGTATCTGCGAGACAACCATCGGAGGTTGAGAAGAAAAGTAACGGCTGGAGGTTGCGCGAAAGTAAAAGGTCAGCGACCTTAGACTTGACAAATACTGCGCGACAGCAAGGACAAGCAACTGACTCGATACTGAGCAGTTGCCCGAGTCGTCAATGTATCGAACCGCAACAGCAAAAGTAAAACATTTATTAGCTGTACCCTTTCATATTCCTTGTAATCTTATAAAAGCTTGTATTGCTTTTTTATTATTAATCTATCTTTGTCAGAGGTCCACTGGTGATCCCCGATTGATTCTAGGGAAGGGTTACAGGCACGTTGGCCTGGGGGGTTATGGGCGCACTTACCCGCTATACAAACAAGCCCTTTTATCCCAATGGTCTAGTGGTTGGAATTATGACAATCTTTCCCTCACCTATGTTAGAATGTTATTTGTGTAGCCTGCAGTGGGGTGCTCAATAGTGAGTACAACCCCTTAGGGTTTGCTATTTGTGTGTCCTTCTGCTTGCTAATCCCACCTCATTCTTCCAATTCTCTTTCGCAAACCCTAACTCCTACCTCTAGAGCGCACACACCTACCTCCTAGTGTGGGCCTAGGCTACTAAGCCTAGGCCCCACTACCTACCATTCCTGTTTTCCTACTATTCTAACATGTTATCAGAGCCCGTTCTACCTTGGCCTGTGGGCCCCTATGCTTCCGCTGCAGTCCTTCTTCCTGCCGCGCGCGGAGCGCGCGGCGAATTTTTTTTTAGGGTTTCGGAGTTTTTCATCCCGCCGTGCGCTCGGGGCGCGCGGCGGTTTTCTGCCCGCCGTGCGCCCCGAGGCGCGCGGCGGTTTTCCCGTCCGTCGAAGCGCCCTCGGGGGGGCCTGCGCGCTGCCCTCCCCGCTGCTCGTCGCGACGCCCGTGCGGGACCCGCGCGGCGTCGCCCTGCTCCTCGCGACGTCCGTGCGGGACCCGCGGGGCGTCGCCCCTGCTCGTCGCGACGCCCCCCCTGGGCGCCGTCCCTGCACGTCGCGGCGCATTCAAGGGGGCCCGCCCGCTGCTCCCCCCCCCCCCCCGCCGACGAGCCAGCACCACCAGCAGCACCCGCCGCCTGGCCTGCAGCAGAAGCCGCCGCCAGGCCTGCAGCAACAGACGCCGCCGCCCTGCAGCAGCAGCCGCCGCCAGGCATGCAGCAGCAGCCGCCGCCAGAGCCTGCAGCAGCAGCCGCCGCCAGAGCCTGCAGCAGCAGCCGCCGCCAGAGTCTGCAGCAGCAGCCGCCGCCAGAGCCTGCAGCAGCAGCCGCCGCCAGAGTCTGCAGCAGCAGCCGCCGCCAGAGCCTGCAGCAGCAGCCGCCGCCAGAGTCTGCAGCAGCAGCCGCCGCCAGAGCCTGCAGCAGCAGCCGCCGCCGAGCCTGCAGCAGCAGCCGCCATCAGGCCTGCAGCAGCTGCCGCCACCGACCCAGCAGCAGCAGCCGCCACTCTACCAGCAGCAGCAGCCGCCGCCGCTCTGCCGCAGCAGCCACCGCCGCCCAGCAGCAGCAGCCGCCGCCAGCGCTTGCAGCAGCTGCCGCCCCTGGACCCGGTACGCTCTGTGCTGCCCTGTGCCTGTGCTGCCCTGTGCTGCCCGTGCCTGTTGCTGCCTGTGCCTGTGCTGCCCGTGCCTGTGCTGCCCGTGCCTGTGCTGCCCGTGCTTGTGGTGCCCGTGCCTGTGCTGCCCGTGCCTGTTGCTGCCCGTGCCTGTTGCTGCCTGTGCCTGTGCTGCCCGTGCCTGTGCTGCCCGTGCCTGTGCTGCCCGTGCTTGTGCTGCCCGTGCCTGTGCTGCCCGTGCCTGTTGCTGCCCGTGCCTGTTGCTGCCTGTGCCTGTGCTGCCCGTGCCTGTGCTGCCCGTGCCTGTGCTGCCCGTGCTTGTGCTGCCCGTGCCTGTGCTGCCCGTGCCTGTTGCTGCCCGTGCCTGTTGCTGCCAGTGCCTGTGCTGCCCGTGCTTGTGCTGCCCGTGCCTGTGCTGCCCGTGCCTGTTGCTGCCCGTGCCTGTGCTGCCCGTGCCTGTGCTGCCCGTGCTTGTGCTGCCCGTGCCTGTGCTGCCCGTGCCTGTTGCTGCCCGTGCCTGTTGCTGCCCGTGCCTGTTGCTGCCTGTGCCTGTGCTGCCCGTGCCTGTGCTGCCCGTGCTTGTGCTGCCCGTGCCTGTGCTGCCCGTGCCTGTTGCTGCCCGTGCCTGTTGCTGCCTGTGCCTGTGCTGCCCGTGCTTGTGCTGCCCGGGCCTGTGCTGCCCGTGCCTGTTGCTGCTCGTGCCTGTGCTGCCCGTGCCTGTGCTGCCCGTGCTTGTGCTGCCCGTGCCTGTGCTGCCCATGCCTGTTGCTGCCCGTGCTTGTTGCTGCCTGTGCCTGTGCTGCCCGTGCCTGTGCTGCCCGTGCCTGTGCTGCCTGTGCCTGTTGCTGCCCGTGCCTGTGCTGCCCTGTGCTACCTGTGCCTGTGCTGCCCGTGCCTGTGCTGCCCGTAACTGTGCTGCCCGTGCCTGTGCTGCCCGTGCCTGTGCTGCGTGTGCCTGTTGCTGCCCGTGCCTGTGCTGCCCGTGCCTGTGCTGCCCTGTGCTGCATGTGCCTGGTGCTGCTCGTGCCTACTGTCTGCGCCCTTGTGCGCTCTGCTACTGTCTGCGCCCTCGTGCGCTCTACTACTGTCTGCGCCCTCGTGCACCCCCCCCCCCCCCCCGTTTGCGGGTACGGGGGTGGCTGGTGTGCATTCCTCCCTTTGCTCCTCCTCCTCCTTCGTCTCCCACTGCTACAGCTGTCGCTGAGGGGGGTGGTTGTGTGGGAGACTGGGGTTTAGGGTTTAAGGGGGGGTGCGTGGGAGTGGAGCTAGCGGTGTAGCAGCGGGTGTGTGTCAGGGGGGTGGGACTGTTTTGGGAAGCTGCTTGGAAGTTGCCGTACTGTAGTCCGCAGCACCTGTAGTCCGGGGCGCTGTCCCGGTAGCCCAGTGAGCTAGACTTCTACGCCAGCCGCCCGTGGGTCCGTTGCCCGTCTGCCGCTACTTGAGCCGCGGGGCCTGTTACTCCTGTAGTCCGGGCGCTGTCCGGTAGCCGCTGTGCCAGTCTGCCTCCTGTTGCCCGTGTGTCTGCAGCTTCAGCCGTCTCCTCCTATCTCCTCTCCCCTCACTCTCTCTCCTCCTCCTCACTTGCCCGTTGTGACTACCACTAGCTTTGCTCATAATTCTTAACTTTAAACTATTGTTTCTTTAACTTGTGCTCAGAATGTGTGGTGACATTGTGATCCACCTTGAGCTTGTACTGCTTTGCCTGCTCTGCTGATTACACCCCACTTTGGCTATGGGGGTGTGTTAGAATGTTATTTGTGTAGCCTGCAGTGGGGTGCTCAATAGTGAGTACAACCCCTTAGGGTTTGCTATTTGTGTGTCCTGCTGCTTGCTAATCCCACCTCATTCTTCCAATTCTCCTTCGCAAACCCTAACTCCTACCTCTAGAGCGCACACACCTACCTCCTAGTGTGGGCCTAGGCTACTAAGCCTAGGCCCCACTACCTACCATTCCTGTTTTCCTATTTTCACAACCTACTAGTGCAAGGTGCTTCAATACTCATCATTAAAACGCTTCCGCGAACTACAACATTCCTACTCAAGGTTAAGTTTAGCAAAAGATCCACGGGGTTTTTCTCAGCCCAAGAGTTTCTGCATCAATATTGGTGAAATAAAAAAAGAATTAACTAACAAAAAGGCAAATCAATATTGGTGCCTTTTTTTCCTATCAATATTGGTGTCTTTTTAAACGCATTCAATGCAGCTCCAAACAAGCATTTCATGCCTCTGTGTGAGCTTGAAGTACTTCGATGAAATATTGTTCATGGATGAAGTGCTAGTTTGCTATTTTGGCTCTCTATAAACTCGTTTGCATACATAATAAAAGATTCGGAAGAAACGTCTTGTCTCTAGTGTTCTTTCGACAGTAATCTTCGTAGCGGCTCGCGACTCTAGTGAAAGAGTATCTCGCCCTTCACAGTCATTGCCATTCGGCGTCTCGACTTGTAACGATGGCTAGCTTGCGCCACAACCACATCAAATTACAAATCGGCGCGATGCGAGGCTCCTGGAAGTCTGAAATTGCAAATGCAATGGAGCTCGCCAGCCCAGCATGGCAAACCCAGCCCTGGGTTTTCACTCTCAACCCTGGATGGCGGCACTTCGTCAAGGGCTTGTTGCCATTGGCGCATTCTCGCACACCCTTAGTCGCGCTTCGACCCACCCTGGGAAATGCAACTTGACAGTCGGCGATGCCACCTACCTTACATTCATGGCCGCATTGCATTGGAAGCAATGTACGGGAATGGGCCATCGTAATCAGGGCTCAGACCTCGTCCATTGAAATAAGGCCAAGCTCCCCATTTCCAAGCCATTCCCGAATTATGTGCTGTCCTACCGTTTGACTGCAGCTCCTTTCTTGTAGTGCTCTTCGCCACACACGCGCCATGTCAGGTCGTACATTCATGTTGCTCCTAGCGCTGGTCCTCGTAGGTGTCCCGTCCTGCCTGGCGGCACCGGGCCCAGGGTACGACGCGTCGTTCAGCCGGCACTTCCGCCTGCCGGCCTTCTGCAACGGCACCTACTGCAACATCGGGCCGGACGGCACCGTCTCGCTCACTGCCGCCCATAACAAAATGGGAGGTTCGTCTTACAGTCGTGCCACGGTTCAAACTTGTAGGGGAGTCCCTTTTCTTGCTCGGAAACTCCTGACATAGAACAGCAACACGCGCGACTGATCACTTTTCTGTTTCGTTTTTGTTTCTTTTTGTTGGCATTGCGTCTGGCGGCAGCATTCGAGTCGAAGAGCTACTACCAGTACGGCATTTTCGAGGTGAAGATGAAGCTTCCGCCAGGGTACTCGGGCGGGCTCATCCCGTGCATCTATCTGATCTCGGGCGAGGGCCTGGACTACCGCGACATCCATGACGAGATGGACTTTGAATTCCTCGGGTGGAGCGACCCTAAACAGATCAAAATCCACACCAACGCCATCGCTGGCGGGTACACCAACGTCGAACAGGTAGGCAGCCCACCGTGTGGCTCATCGACGGCTGCAACGCTAGGATCCACAGTAACCATGTTTCTGCACGGAACAGCTCCGCCAGGCAAGTAGGGACCCGTAAAGGGCGGAGGGAACCTGCAAGATTGGATCCAAACCAACGCTTAAACTTGGAAGATACGCACGTCGACCAGGTGAGAATTCGGAAGGCCGTTTGAACCGCGAGTGGAAGTGCACGTGCATGCAAACGGGATTGTGTGTTGGTTGGTGAAATGAACGGGATTCAGAAAGGCGCGAGCTTCAGAGACTTCAATTTGATTGTTTGACTCGACGATTACGTAACTCACACAATCAAACTCTGCAACGTCTGCGTTCTCCTGATATAGTCAACCTAGTTGTCCGCAACAGCCAACCATCCGTTTCCCTTTCCCTCACCCCCCTTTCCCCGACGGCGGACTTCCACACGTACACCATGGTGTATGCGCCCAGATAAGCGACTTCTGAGCCGACTCAAAAGTCCCCCTTGCATCTCGCGGCTCGTCCTTTCATCAAAACCCTTTCCTCCCTCCCTCGCAGTACAAGTTCGCGTTCGACCCGTCGGCGGACTTCCACACGTACACCATGGTCTATGCGCCCAACTGGCTTGTGTGGAAGATTGACGGCAAGCCCATCCGCATCACCTGGCGCGAACCGGGCAAGCCCTTCCCCTCGCTTCCCATGAAGATCATGGTGCGTTTCCCCTTTCCGCCTCCCTCCGGCTCGTCCCCTAGCGTCCTAGCAACACGTTTCTGACATCATCACCCCTTCTCGTTTCTGTCGCACCTGGATTCTCTCACTAATGCTTTTCGCCGTGAAGCTTATTCGGAGTAACTTCCTACGTTTCTGCCAGTGGGCTTTAGGACCTTCCACAAGCCACTCTCACCGCTCCTCTCCCTTCCCCGCACCCACCCTACCGTCGGCTTGCTGGAAAGCAGGGGTCGATATGGGACGCATCCTTTTGGCTGCCGTTCAAGAGCGACTACTCCAAGGGCAACGTGACAGTCAAGTTCCGCCGCTTCGACCTCAAGGACGCCTGCCGCTCCGTAGATCCCAAGGTCGCGCCTGCTTGCGCTTTCCGCAAAGATGCGCGCAAAGGTGCGTGGCTGACGCGGCCTTCACGGAACGATATCGCGCGCGCCAAGCGACACAGAACGCTGTACCTGCACAAGGAATTTGGCGGATGGCAAAAGGTTGTGTAGGGGATCGTCGATTGTGTTTGTATCTTAGGGAGTCTCCTAGATGGATCACACCATAATTAGGAGCTAGACAATAGCTAGAGAGTAGGATGTAGTCAGGATGTAGCTGACAGACGCGGTGCAGGCTTCACCTGATTGTAGTTAGCAGTATTTCTGACTCAGCCCTGTTGTGTAGAAGAAATTATATATTTTACCAAGCAGTTGTAGCAAACCTTGTGCTGAAATCGGGTAATAATAATTACGTTTTTTTTTTTTTCAAGCTGCACTTCAGCTCCTTGTTGGACCTGCCTATATTTGTGTGATTTTAAATTCCACATGTAACAATGCTCAACAAGGCCAGGTAGCATATGTGCTTATAGGTGTATCGTTCATTCTCTATTATTTTGTTACATTTGGTTCTCGTCTGAAGTTGTGGCGGGAACTCCGCACCGCAAATCCAACCTGATTTCAGCAGTGCATTCACAGCGAACCCTTCACCTCCACCCCACATACACTCAGTACCGTAAGTCCCTTCCAGTTAGCACTGTCCCGCTTCACTCAGTTTCGAAACCTGTGGGTGGGGACGTTCGCTCTAGCATGAGCGCCTTCGCTCGATGCCATGGGACTGCCGGAGGGCCATCGATCGCGTCGTCTTAGTTGGCAAGCGCGCCGCCCCCCGTCGCGCGGCGCCTCCTCGGCTCGGCGCGCCGAGCTACTTCGACGTCCGTCGTCGCTCCTCCGCGTCTCCATCCTCCTCCTCAGCTGCGTCGTCTCGCTCTCGCCACGTGGCTCGGCCTTATTGGCAGGCAGCGCCCACTGGCGCCACGTTGAGGCGCAGTCGCGCCATTCCCCCGAACCGTCGCAGCCCGCGCGGAGGGCCAGCGGGGAGGCGGAAGGGAAAAACGTGGGGGAAGGGGAACCCCGCGCTGTTTATGGGGCCGCAGCGTGGAGATGGGGCGGGGGAGAGGACGGGGAAGCACATGGCGGAAAGGATGTTAGTGGCGGAAGGGAAGGGGAAAGGATAGCTGCGGAGAGAAATGTGCGCGACAGCGAGGGGGAAGCAGGGGCGGGCGAGCGGGTTGAGCGGGTGGGAATGGGGATAGGGATGGGGTTGGGAGCGAGGGGGAGGGCTGGAGGGAAGAGCGGGGGAGCGCGAGGTAGTCGGGAAGGGGACGCGGCGACAATGGCATGGGGGGAGGCGGCAGCGTGGGGAGGGGTGATGGTGCACCGCGCGCAGTGGCACTCCAACAGACAGCGAAAGGGCGCGCAGGGGGACGGCGGGCAGGGGGGAAGCAGGCAGGCGGGCGGCGGATGGAGAGAGGCGGGAGTGGCCAGCGCGAACGGGGGCGCGGGCGCGGGCGCGGCGGAGATGACGGTCAGCGCGGAAGCTGCCGGCGTGACTGCGGGAGCGGATGCAGCTGTGCCTAATGGGGCGGATGGGGCGGATGGGGTGGTGGAGGCGGAGAGGGGCGGGGCGATGGCGCACCACTCTGTGTGGCGCACCCATGGCGGGGCGGGGGACGCCGAGGGGGGCGGGCGAGTGGTGGAAGCGGAGAGGAATGATGGGGAAGCGCGAGGGAGCGATGGGAGGAGGGGCGATGGGCGGGCAGGCGATGGGCGGGCAGGCGTGTCTGGTAGTGCAGTGGCAGCAGGTGAGATGAGGGGCGGACACGATGATGCGGGAGGGGATGGTCGGAGTGCGGGGTCTGAGCGCCAGGGGGAGAGAGCAAGGGTTGGAGAGCGAGTGGGGCATGCGCGAGGAGGCGAGGGCGGCGAGCGGGGGACAGGGGGCACGCCACGCGCGTGGCACCACGCGTTGCTGCACGGCCACCCGCCCACACGCGCGCCTCCCCCTCCCCCTCCCACTCGCTCTCCCCCGCTACTGCTGGCGCGCACTGCTGTGGCCGAGGGCGGTGGGCATATGGGAGGGGAAGAGGGCCTGGGTGGGAGAGGGGACACAGGAGGGCAAGTGGACTTCCCCCCACACCATGCGCGGCTGTACGCGCACGAGGTGGCGCATGGGGCTCCCCCCGCCCCGCTGCTGGTGCTCTCTGCCGCCGCCAACGAGGGCAGCGGAAAGGCGAGGTCTGGCGCACCGCTGCCCCATGTTCCCGTGCCCCATGCGCCCCTGCCCCATGCGTCAGTGCCCCATGCGCCACTGCACCAGCCGCTGCACGAGCGTACATCCCCGGGTGAGGGTCCTCCTCTCCCCATTGAACTCTCCGCCTCTGCTGCGGGTGGCGGCGATGGAGCCTCGGGAATGGGAGGAAGAGAGGTGGGGAACGCGGAGGAGGTTGCTGGGCTGGTGGCAAGGCCAGGAAGACATGCGGAGAGGGGAGATCGAGATGGAGGAGGGGGAGGGGGCGACGAGGGGAGGCGAAATAGAGGAGGCGGAATGAGTGGCGAGGGGAGGAGCAGCCCTTGGGTGCACCACACGACGATGCATCATGAGCGGTTGCAGGGAGGCGAGAGTAAGGAGGATCAGCAGCAGCAGGCAGGGGAGGGGGTCGGTGCCGGTGATGCAATCGGTGAGGGTGGGGGGCGCACGGAAGGGGCGGGGCACGGGAGGTGGCACGTGCATGGTGCAGTGGAGCGCGATAGTACTCACGGTGATGCACCCATGGGCGCTGGGCTGTACTTGCACCCCACCACTCACACACAGCCGGTGCAGCAGATGCAGCACATGCAGCACACACAACTCGCACAGCAGAATCAGCAGGTGCAGCAGGAGCAGCACACACAGCAGCAGCAGCAGCAGCAGAAGCAGGATCAGGGCGGGGAATGGGCTGGAGGGGTGCAGGTGGCAGAGGTGGGTGACGTGAGGAGGCGAGGAGGAGGCCATCGCAGCTCATTCCAGGAGGAGAGCCACTTCCATGGCAGCACAGAGCACGGGAAGGATGCAGGCAGTCAGCAGCACGCGAGGGGCGAAGGCGACACACAGCAGGGGGCTGGCGGCGTGGCGTGGGGTACGGATTTTGTAGGCGGGAGGGAGGAGAGGCGAGGTGAGGTGAGGGGAAGCGGGCGAGTGCATGGCGAGAGGGCGCCGAGGGAGGAGGCGCGGGAGGGGAGGGCTGAGGGGGCAGCCGAGGCAAGGGCGGAGGGTGGGGATGAAGACACGAGCTGGATTGTGCAAGAGGGGCAGCAGCACCGACCAGCGCTGCACACGCGGCCAATGGTGCTGCGGCAGGGTGTGGAGGGGCATTGGGGGGCGGAGGGGACAGCAAAGCAAATGGCTGAGAGTGGGGATGAAGACACGCACTGGATTAAGCAAGAGGGGCAGCAGCACCGACCAGCACTGCACATACGGCCAATGGTGCTGCGGCAGGGAGTGGAGGGGCATTGGGGGGCGGAGGAGGCAGCAGATGCATTGGCTCAGGATGGGGATAATGAAGACACGAGCTGGATTGTGCGAGAGGGGCAGCAGCACCGACCAGCACTGCACACGCAGCCACTGGTGCTGCAACACGGCGTGGAGGTGCACAGCGGGGCGGAGAGCGCATGGGCGGAGGGTGAGAGCATGGGGAGCGCGGCAGAGGGGACGGCTAGGCATGGGGATGCGGGGGAGGTTGCTGGGAAGCTGCAGATAAAGCAGCACCGGCCAGCACTGCATGAGGGGCTGATGGCGCAGCAGCATGGCGAGGGGAGTTTCCACAGCGGGGCGGGAGGGGCAGCGCCAAGGCGAGGCAAGGCAGGCAGGCAAGGAGGCGAGGAGGGATGGGAGGCAGCAGGCGCGGCAGCAGGCGAGGCAGCAGGCGAGGGAGAAGTGGGCGTGAGGGGCGGAGGGCGTGTGGGGCAGAGTGAACGCGTGGATGGGCGTGAAGAGGCGGATGTGCTGGTGGCTAGGGTAGGGGAGCTGGGGGAGGTGGCTGGTGAGGGGAGAGTGCGTGACAGCAAGCAAGGGCTGGGTAGCATGGATGGGCTGGGCAGAGTTGGTTGGAGCAGGGGTGACGGTGGCGATGGTGGGCAGGGGACGGCAGCACACCGCAGCGCTTGGCACACAGTGCATGGAGGGGTTGGTGAGAAGCATGAGAGGAGTGAGAGGGCAGAGAGGAGTGAGAGGGCAGAGAGGAGTAGGGGAGAGGAGGGGTTGCAGGAGGGGATGCAGGTGGATCAGATTGATGTGCGGGTTGAGGTGGGCGGTGGGAAGAAGGGGGCGATGGGACAGGGGCAGTGGCAGCAGCAGCAAGTGGATGGGGGAGTTGACCTGCTGGCGCCACACCATGTGTCGCTGCACCAGCAGCACCACGCGCGCCACCACATCTCCTCCTCTCCGCCCTCCTCCGTGCCCGCAGCCCATGCCCCGCCCATCCCCGTCACGCCTCTCACTTCTTTTGCACCCCGCCTCCCTGCTTCCGCCAGCAGCTTCAGCGATGCAGCCACCAGCAGCAGCAGCAGCAGTGGCAGCAGCAGCAGCAGCAGCAGCAGCAGCAGCAGTGGCGGCAGTGTGAGATTGGATGCAGAAGCAGCCGCCGCAGCAGGGGGTGGGGTTGGGGGTGGGGGTGCGGGGATGAGTGCAGCAGGGGGGAGGATAGACTGGCAGTCGGTGGAGACGGACAAGCAAGTGCTGCTCAACCTCAAGCTGCACGTGCTTAGTGACCCCTCAGGTGTGCACATGCTGCCATGCAGCACATGCCATGTGCTTTTATGTGCTGCCATGCAGCACATGCCATGTGCTTTTATGTGCTGCCATGCAGCACATGCCATGTGCTTTTATGTGCTGCCATGCGGCACATGCCATGTGCTTTTATGTGCTGCCATGCGGCACATGCCATGTGCTTTTATGTGCTGCCATGCGGCACATGCCATGTGCTTTTATGTGCTGCCATGCGGCACATGCCATGTGCTTTCATGTGCTGCCATGCGGCACATGCCATGTGCTTTCATGTGCTGCCATGTGCTTTTATGTGCTGCCATGCAGCACGTGCCATGTGCTTTTATGTGCTGCCATGCGGCACATGCCATGTGCTTTTATGTGCTGCCATGCGGCACATGCCATGTGCTTTCATGTGCTGCCATGTGCTTTTATGTGCTGCCATGCAGCACATGCCATGTGCTTTTATGTGCTGCCATGCGGAACATGCCATGTGCTTTTATGTGCTGCCATGCGGCACATGCCATGTGCTTTTGTGTGCTGCCACGTGCCGCTTTTCCTTCCGTTTTCCTTTCCCTCACCTCTCCACTCTTTCCAATCCCCTGCCCGCCCCCCTGTCCCACCGCCCCTCCGCCAGGCACGTTGGATAACTGGAATCCAAAGGACCCCACCCCCTGCTCCTGGACTGGCGTACAGTGTAACCCCTTCTCACAGCAGGTCAGAGCAACCACTTCTCCCAGCAGCATGTCAGTGTTTTTTTTTTTTTTTTTTTTTTTTTTTTTTTTTTTTTTTTTTCCCTTGGTTGTCCCATCCCCCCGCCTCATCTCCGCCTCACCTCCCCTAGGATCTGCGAAGATAACTCTATCACGGGAGCTAAATTACGGGCTAGACACGGGGTAGGAGGGATTTTTGCGTTCGTTCACTCAGTCGTTTACTCATGATTGCACTACTTGCTGGTTCACGGGGGAATTTGACAAGAGTTCCCATTGCAAAAGTTCACAACAATGGTGGCAACAACATTGGCATCATAGACTATATCAGAGCTAGCTAGGCTGCTGGTCGACCTCCAGCGCAGCATGGTCGACCGCGCTCCAGCGCAGCAGCGCTCGCACCGCTCCAGCGTTGCACTTTAGTGGTTCGCCAATGTTGCAAGTCGACGGTGTGCCAACGCTGCAGCAAGTTGGCTGCACAGCGTTGCACCCGCAGAACAACGGTGCACCTGCTTCGCAGGTGCGTGTAGCTGGTTGGTGCACCACGCCTCGTCGCGCGCACAGCGCAGACGCCTGGCAGAATCCACGACAGCGACTGCGCCCACCAGCCTGTCGACCTCGGGATACCACCCCCGAGGTCGGCCTCGCAGAATCCACCCCGGCGACCTTCGCACACGTCGCCCGGGTATCCCGGTCGACCAGCTTAGTTGGTTGCTGGCTGCACAAGCCCGGCGTCCCTAGTTCGCCACCCAGGTGCTCAGGACGCCGTTTGTCCAGGTCGGCGTCCAGCCTCCCAGGACGCCGTCCAGGCGTTCAGAACGTCGACCAAGCGTCCAGGACGGCGTCCTCCTGCTCGGCGCCCTCCAGCTCGGCGCCCTTGCAGTGGCCCCCGTGCCCACTGCTGTAGGTCGGCTGCATCCCCTGCACATCCGACCACGAGGTCGGCTCCGCCCAAGCGAGGGTGGGGCCACACGACACTCCCGTTGACAGGATCCACCAGTGGGCGTACTCACATTGCTGTCTCTTTCTCCCTCTCCCTACCTCCCTCTTCCCTCCACCAGGTGGTGCGGCTAGACCTATCAGCAGTGTCACTGCTGGGCATCTGGCCTTTCAGGACCACCCGCTGGGTGCGCTGACATCGCTGTTGTTCTCTTTCCATGTTTCCTTGCTTCCCTCCCCTCCACCCCCCACCAGGTGGTGGGACTAGACCTCTCAGCAGCATCTCTCCTGGGCGACTTTGCTTTCCAGGACCCGCCTCTGGGCACACTCACATCGCTGTCTTGTCGAGTTGTCCCCTCTCCCCTGTCCCTCTCCCCCCTCTTCCCCCAACACCAGGTGGTGGGTCTAGACCTCTCAGCAGCGTCGCTCCAGGGTGACTTGGCCTTTCAGGACCCGCCTCTGGGCGCGCTCACATCACTGCAGCGCCTGCAGCTGGCCGACAACCTCTTCTCGGGCTCCATCCCCGACTCTCTTTCTTCTATCCGCAGCCTGCAGGTGAGATGGGACCAACGCGTGAGAACACAGGTTAGGCCACACAAGAGACCACAGCCCCCCTCCCTGCAGCTGGCCGACAACCTCTTCTCCGGCTCCATCCCCGACTCGCTCTCTGCCATCCGCAGCCTGCAGGTGAGGTCAACGCCTGGGTGAGGTCAACGCCTGGGTGAGGTCCGTGAGGACGCGGACACTAGCACCGATTTAGGCAGGATCGGGTCTTCACTGCACACCAATCCTCCCATTAGGTCTGGTGATCGGTCGTGGCGTGGGCTTGCGGGCTACATCTACGATCTGGGCCCTCGTTATGAGCACGATCGCAAAAGGGGGGTGTACTGTGCAAAGCGATCGACTGGCCCAAACTTTTTAACAAGCGTCACACCTTTCGCAAGGCGACCCGGTTCAGCAAGCACGACTCGAAAACCCATTTCGCCAAGTGTATTATCGTTTTTGCCAAACCCGGCGCATACACATTTCGCGAGTCTTGGCAGGCGATTGATCGTGCTTGAGCTTACCACATGCATCACAATCGGGTGACCAACATGAATCTCGACATGATCGGTTGCCCGGGCGAGGCCCCCAAAAGCAAACGCTACAGTAACCCTGTAATAGTTACTGTAGTGTTCTACAGTAACTGGTAACACGGAAACCACCCCCGCGATTGATTCCATCAATCAATGACGATCTCGATGCGAGTGTCCACGTCCTGAGGTCAATGCATCTCATGCCAGGTGTGTTTTGAGTCGACTCAAAGTACACGAGTTGCCAGGGCCCCCCTCCCAGCACCTGGCCGGCAATTCCATCCCCGACTCGCTCTCTGCCATCCGCAGCCTGCAAGTGAGGCAAGCGCAGGCTCTCCATCAACACAGGTTCAATGCATCTGGACGTCAGTGCATGAGCACACTGAACCTCACTGCAGCTGGCCGTCAAACCCCGACTCCCTCTCTGCCATCCGCAGCCTGCAGGTGAAATCAAAGCATGCGCATGCAGGTGAGGTCAATGCCTTGTGCACATGGGATCTCATCCCACTTGCAAGAGTGACTGGAGCTAGAGACCTCTTCTCCAACATGCCTTCCCTGTCCGCCTCCCCGTCCCCCTCTTCATCCCCTTCCCTATCCCCCTCCACGTCTCCCTCCGTTCCCCCCTCCCCCGTCCCTCCCCTCCTCAGGTGCTAGAGCTAGCCAACAACGAGTTGGATGGCATCATCCCCCCCACGCTCTTCTCCAATGTGCCCTCCCTCGCCACCGTTGACCTCAGTGACAACACCCTCTCAGGCCCGCTGCCCCAGGACGTCTCCGCCTTGCAGTCGCTGCTCTCGCTGGACGTCAGTGGTAACCGCCTCGAGGGGCCGCTGCCGGACAATCTGTCGCAGCTGCGCCAGGTGTCGCAGCTGGTGCTGGATGGGAACAAGGGGCTAAGTGGGTCGCTCAGTCCTGCTGTCCTCGGGTCTCTGCCGTCATTGCAGGTGTGTGCGACTGTGTGTTTCTGTGTATTCCTGCTGGATGGCAACAAAGGGCTCTCTGGGTCATTGAGTCCTGCTGTGCTGGGCGCACTGCCGTCCCTGCAGGTGCGTGCGATTTGTGTGTGTGCGTGTGCGCGAGCGTGGTATGGCTGGTGCTGGACGGCAATGTGGGGTTTACTGGGCCGCCCAACCCTGCTGCCCTCAGCTAGCTGCCCACGCTGCAGGTGCATGCGATGCAAGTGTGAGTGTGTGTGACTGTGAGTGTGTGAGTGTGGATTTGTATGTGTGAGAATGGGTGTGAGGAAGTAGCTACCATAGTGCACTACAACGTGTTTGACTCAACTTTTTGTGCTCGGCGCCCCAGCCTTTCCTCACGTGTCTTCACCTCTCGTCGCCCCTCATCCCCCCTTCAAACCCACCAGGTGATCTCAGCTCGAGGCTGCAGCTTCAGCGGCTTCCTGCCGCCTGCTCTCGGCTACGCGCCGCGCCTGCAATCATTGGATCTGGGCGGCAACCAGCTGGCGGGCGGCATACCGCCCACGTGGGGGCAGATGGGCAGCTTGACCTCTCTGGTGATGGACGGCAACCAGCTGTCTGAAAGCATCCCCTCCGCCCTCAACGGGCTGTCGGCTCTGCAGGTGGGATTCAACTTGAATAAGTCAAGGACAGAGGGGGAGGGAAGGTGAGGGAGAGAGGGAGGGATGGGATCGGGGGTTGTATAAGGCAGGGTATGAGGGTGGGTTTAAGTGGGGTGAGGGGTATGAGGGTGGGTTTAAGTGGGGTGAGGGGTATGAGGGTGGGTTTAAGTGGGGTGAGGGGTTTGAGGGTGGGTTTAAGTGGGGTGAGGGGTATGAGGGTGGGTTTAAGTGGGGTGAGGGGTATGAGGGTGGGTTTAAGTTGGGTGAGGGGTATGAGGGTGGGTTTAAGTGGGGTGAGGGGTATGAGGGTTGGTTTAAGTGGGGTGAGGGGTATGAGGGTGGGTTTAAGTGGGGTGAGGGGTATGAGGGAGGGTTTAAGTGGGGTGAGGGGTATGAGGGTGGGTTTAAGTGGGGTGAGGGGTATGAGGGTGGGCTTAAGTGGGGTGAGGGGTATGAGGGTGGGTTTAAGTGGGGTGAGGGGTATGAGGGTGGGTTTAAGTGGGGTGAGGGGTATGAGGGAGGGTTTAAGTGGGGTGAGGGGTTGCGTCCACCTGCGGCCCCAGACGAACGGGTCCGCTTCGACTTGAATATCCCAAAGCGCCTTGACATTCGGCTGTGCCAGATGGGCAGCCTGACCTCTCTTGAGGCGCCTCAAAAGTCGCCAAATGGGCAGCCTGACCTCTCTTGAGGCGCCTCAAAAGTCGCCAAATGGGCAGCCTGACCTCTCTTGAGGCGCCTCAAAAGTCGCCAAATGGGCAGCCTGACCTCTCTGGTGATGGACGGCAACCAGCTGTCTGATTGCATCCCCTCTGCTCTTGGTGGCCTCTCCGCCCTGCAGGTGGGGTTGTGTGAGGCAGGGTGGGTTCAAGCGTCAAGGGGGGTGATGGTTGGTTCTCGTCCGCCCTGCAGGGGGTGGGTGAAGGTGGGGTAGAATGCAGGGGAAAGAAACTGGTTTGGCACAGTGTGGGGTCAAGAAAGAAGGTCCGGAGACGAATTGGCTCGGCACGTTTTGAACCAACAACACACACTGCTCACGTCCATCTCCTTGCAACAAACCCACTCCACTGTTTCCTCTCAACCCACCCTCTTGGTCTCTCCCTCCCTCCTCTCATGCCTGCCTGCCTGCCTCCTTCCTTCCCGCCTGCCTCCCACCTGCCCCCCTCATCCCCACTCAACAGAGGCTGGACGTGAGCAGCAACGGGCTCAGCGGCACCATCCCAACCCTCAATGGGCTCACAGCGCTCACCGCTCTCAACCTCTCTGCAAACCAGCTCTCCGGACCCATTCCCACCGACGGCGTCCTAGGAAGTTTCCCACCCTCTTCCTTTGCCGGCAACCCTGGCCTCTGCACTGGGAACTGCGCCTCTCCCCCTGCTGTCCGCCCTCCCCCTACCATTGCTCCCCCCATCTTCCCCCCGCCTACGCTCTTCCCCCTGCCCGTCCCCATGGCCCCTCTCCCCCCGCTCTCCCCTCCCCCACCCCCTTATGTTGAGCCTCCGCCCTACAGTCCTCCCATTCCGCCCCCAATTCGCTCCCCCCCACCTGCTCCTCGCCCCCCTCCCCTCTCCCCCCGCTCTCCCCCCCCGCTCCCCCCCTCGCTCTCCCCCACTCCCCCCTTCCCTGCGCCCTCCTCCCATTCCCCCCAAGCCGCCCTCCTTAAGGCCCCCTCCCGTCCCACCCTCTCTCCCGCCCTTCCCACCCCCTGCCTCCCCCAAACCGCCCCCTCCTCTCTTGAAGCCGCCCTCCCCTCCTCACTCCCCCCCCCCCCGCCCCCCTCCCGTTCCGCCCCGTTTGCCCCCTCCCTTTCCCCCTCCCTTTCCCCCTCCCGTGCCCCCTCCTGTTCCTCCACCCAGCCCCCCTCTTTCCCCTCCTCGCCCTCCTCCACTCCCCCCTCCGCTCCCCCCTCCGCGCCCACCTCCCCGCCCCCCTCCTCACCCCCCTCCTCTCCCTCCGCCTCCCTCGCCTCCCCCATCCCCCCCACCTCTCCCCCCACCAAGTCCCCCAAGTCCCCCTCCCCGCCCACCCCCTTCTCCCCCGCCCTCCCCTCCTCCCCCAAGCCCACCACCACCCCAACCCCCCCCATCCCCTCCCCCTTCCCCCCCTCCCTCCCCTCCTCCATCCCCTCCCCCACCATCCCCGCCATCACCCCCACCCCCTTCCCCACCTCCCCTCCCCCCATCCCCTCCCCCGCCACCATCACCCCCACCATCCCCCCCATCTCCCCCTTCCCCCCCTCCGCCTCCCCCATCACCCCCTTCCCCCCCATCCATCTTTGCCCCACCGCAGCTGCTCAACCGCATGGTGCTGCCATCCAACACCACCAAGCCCATGCCAGTCAGTGCCATATTCGCCTTCTCCCTCTCAGCGGTGCTCGGCGCGCTGCTCATGGGCGTCTGTTTCACCATCAACCAGCCCTACTCCTCCTCTGGCCAATCGCGTGCGTGGGCAGCAGCAGGGGCAGGGGGTGGGGGCGGTACGGGGGGCGGTGGAGGGGTGCTGGGGGGTTTTTTAGGGGGAGGAGGGGGGGAGGGAGGGGGGGCTAAGATGGGGATACTGGGGGCGGCAGGGGGGGCGATGGCAGGGGCGGCAGCGGGGATTGCGGGCGGCAGGCACTCGTCAGCATCCCAGCAGCTTGTCACAATGTTTAACGGTCAGACAATGCATGTGGATGACCTCCGGGCAGCCACGGAAAATTTCGGGCCCGGGCAGATGATGGTGGGCGGGGCGGGGCCGAGCGGGGCAGTGTCGTTTCTGGCTGAGATGGCGGACGGGGCGGCGGTTTTTGTTGCGAAGCAGCTGCCGCCCCTGCTGGGGGGAGATGCCGTCAACTTTGTGTTCGAGGTGAGTCTGGGGGGGGGGGGGAGAAGGGGAGAGGGAGAGGCGCGGGTTGGAGGGAGAGGCATGGTAGCGTGTGGGAGGGGGGGGGGGAGGAGGGTTTTGTGAGTGGAGAGGAGGGGAGAGGAGGGGAGAGGGGTGTGGGAAAGGGGAGCAAGGAGAGGCGGGGCATGGTAAGGGAGAGAAGGGGTATGGGAGGAGAAAGGATGGGGGAGAGAGGAGGGAAGGATAGGGGATGGGGGTGGGGGAAGGAGAGGAGGGAGAAAGTTGGAAGAATTTTCCAAATGATCAAATAGCTGGCATGATGATGCACATTCTACCGAGCACTGCATTGAGCTCCAACCATGTTGCACCACTACATCTTACCACCACACAATATCACCACCCAGCAGCGCCACACATACACAGCACCACCATACACAGCACCACACATACACAGCACCACCATACATAGCACCACACATACACAGCACCACACATACACAGCACCACACATACACAGCACCACCATACACAGCACCACACATACACAGCACCACACATACACAGCACCACACATACACAGCACCACACATACACAGCACCACACATACACAGCACCACACATACACAGCACCACCATACACAGCACCACACATACACAGCACCACACATACACAGCACCACACATACACAGCACCACACATACACAGCACCACACATACACAGCACCACCATACACAGCACCACACATACACAGCACCACACATACACAGCACCACCATACACAGCACCACACATACACAGCACCACACATACACAGCACCACCATACACAGCACCACACATACACAGCACCACCATACATAGCACCACCATACACCCCAAAACCCCACCTTCTCCCAACCTTGCGAGCAGCGTGAGGCACGCCTGCGAGCAGCGGCGAGGCAAGACAACATTCTGCCAGTGGTGAGGTGCTGGAAGGACGCCTGTTGATACATCTCAGACTCAATCCCACTCTCCCCACCTTGCCCTCCTCCCCCGCTACCTATGCAGCACGAGGCACGGCTGCTATCAGCAGTGCGGCATGACAACATTCTGCCGGTGGTGGGGTGCTGGGAGGGCCCCCTTTGAGACGTCTCAAATCTCAATGTCAAACCCCCTGCTCCCCCCTTGCCCACCTATGCAGCACGAGGCACAGCTGCTATCAGCAGTGCAGCATGACAACATTCTGCCGGTGGTGGGGTGCTGGGAGGGCGCAGGCGGGTCAGGCGAGGCCATGCGCGTGCTGCTGTACGACTACATGCCCAACGGGGACCTTCGGGAGTTCCTATACGATGAGGTCAGCTGCCTTGATACGAATGACCTTGCTGCTACCCTCCCACATGCCTCATGTGTTGCTGTATGACGACATGCCCAATGGGGACCTGCAAGAGTTCCTGTATGACGAGGTCAGTCATACATGTGCAACGGTGACATGCCACATATGCCGCTGTACATGTGCAACGGTGACATGCCACATATGCCGCTGTACATGTGTGAGACTAGTGGGTCAGGCGAGTCCATGAGGGTGTTGCTGTACGACTAGATGCCCCATGGGGACCTGCGGGAGTTCCTGTATGACGAGGTCAGTTTCCACATGCCACATGTGCTGTTGTGCCGTTGCATGCCACACGTGCTGTTGTGCCGTTGCATGCCACTTGTGGTGGTACTAGTGGGTCGACTGAGTCCATGCGCGTTTTGCTGTAGGACTACATGCCCAATGGGGACCTGCGGGAGTTCCTGTATGACGAGGTCAGTTCCCACATGCCATGCCACATGTGCTGTAGGACTACATGCCCTATGGGGTCCTGCTCCCTTCCTCTATGATGAGGTGAGTTCTTTTTACATGCCACATGTACTGCTGCCCCACATCTACTGCTGCCCCACATGTACTGCTGCCCCACATGTACTGTTGCCCCACGTGTACTGCTGCCCCACATGTGCTGCTGCCCCACGTGTACTGCTGCCCCACATGCGACACAGTGTGCTGGCGCACATGCCCTTCCCCCACCATCACCTGCCTGCTTCGCCCTGACCACATCCGCTCCTGCTTCGCCCTGACCACATCCGCTCCTGCTTCGCCCTGACCACATCCGCTCCTGCTTCGCCCTGACCACATCCGCTCCACCGCCGTCACTTGCTACCGTTGCTTGCGCCCCACCCTGCACCTCCCACCTCACACTTCTGCCCCTCCTCTCTCATCCTCCGCATCCCTCCTACTCGCTCTCCTCCCCACGCCACGCATCTCTCAAGTCGCTGCAGTGGCTGGTGCTTTTCTGAGTGGTCATGGGGGTGGCAAGGGAGTCATGGGGGTGGCAAGGGAGTCACTTTTGAAAATTTCAAAAAGTCATCCTACCCATCCCTCTTGCCCGCTCTCCTCCCGACCGCCAGCTGGCGTCACGCAAGTCGCTGCAGTGGCCGGTGCGCTTCCGGGTGGCCATGGGGGTGGCACGCGGCCTCGCCTTCCTGCACAGCGGGGTGGGCGGCGCGGGCGGCATGGGCGGCGGGCCGATGGCGCATGGGGCGGTGCATCCGGGGAATGTGCTGCTGGACGGCCGCATGGAGCCAAAACTTGCCGACATGGGCGTGGCTCGGATTGCATTTGATACGGATGATGTGCAAGTGGCCGATGAGATCATGGGGTACACGCCGCCCGGTATGTGCGGATGGGATCATGCGGATGGGATCATGCGGATGGGATCATGCGGATGGGATCATGCGGATGGGATCCCCCTCTCCTCTCCAGTACTCAGCACTCCAGCTGATTGCACCTTTCGAGTCATGCTGTGAGGGGTCCTCACAAGCCATCTCCCCGTGAACACAACATAGCATAGTGGAATGGTCCACCTCATCACAACTCCCTCCCCACTTTCTCCCTTGTCCCCTTGCCGCCGTGCTCCCACCACTCCCGCCCATCCCCCAGAGTACTCAGCAGATTGCACCCCCCCCCCAACCCCAGAAGGCGATGTGTGCAGCTTCGCTGTGGTCCTCCTCAAGCTGCTCACCGCTCGCCCTCCACTGGACCCAGCCTTCACTGACAACAGCACAGGGGACCTCGTCGCATCTCCCTGACCCCTCCTCTATTTCCTCTATTTCCTCGCGCCCTTGCCCCTTGGCCCCTGACCCCGCTACCCCCCTCTGTCCCCTCTTCCTTCCCCTCCCGCCCATCCCCCAGAATACTCCGCCGGCCCCACCCGTCCAACCCCAGCCGGCGACGTCTACAGCTTCGGCGTCGTGCTCCTCGAACTCCTCACCGCCCACCCACCCATGCCCCCCTGTTTCCCCCTTTCCCCCTCCCCGCTCCTCCCATCCCCCAGAATATTCAGCGGGCCCCACCCCTCCAACCCCAGCCGGCGACGTGTACAGCTTCGGGGTGGTTTTGCTCGAGCTGCTCACAGCGCGCCCGCCAGTGGACCCGGCCTTCACAGACAACGGTACGGGCGACCTCATAGGGTGGGTGCGTGCCACCATACAGGCGGGGCAGCCGGGGGAGGCTCTGGATCCGCGCATGGCGGACGCGGCGGAGAGTGGCGATGAGATGCTGCAGTTCCTCAAGGTGGCGCTGGTGTGCGTTGCTGAGGATGGGGATGAGCGGCCGATGATGCGCGAGGTGGTGGAGATGATGGTCAGGGCGAGGGAGACCGCCGCCAAGATAAGAGAGAATCCTCAGATCAGGGACTTGCTGGAGTGACAGGGGAGGGGAGGGATAGAGTGAAAGTTGAAGGGAGTGAAACAGATGGGTGGAGTGGAAGGAGGTGGTGGGTGCAGCGGTGCAGCAGGGAGCTCAGGGGGAGGTGGTTGAGATTTTGGTGTGGGGCCTGGGCGCGGGAGAATGCAGCTATGATTCGAGAGAACCCGCAGATTCAGGAGTTGTTGGAGTGAGGGGGAGGGGTGGGATGCAGTAGTGTGGAAGGGAATGATGTGGATGCAGTGGTGAAGGGAATGATGTGGATGCAGTGGTGAAGGGAATGATGTGGATGCAGTATTGAAGGGAATGATGTGGATGCAGTGGTGAAGGGAATGATGTGGATGCAGTGGTGAAGGGAATGATGTGGATGTTGTGTGTTTGTGCTGTGCAATGGGGGAGCGCAACGGCGATAGTGAATTGGAAGTGAGGAGATGATTTTGTGTTGTACGGTATGTCCATCCATCGTTGCAGCACTCGTACTTTACTTCGCTTGGTTCTGCTACGCTCAGAACCAGTCTCGAGGACTGTGAGCGTGAAACACAGTCGGAAGATTGCCGTACTAGCATGTTGAGGCCTACATATGGGTACCAGGTGAATCCAATATTTCGAATTTACTGGGAGCTTGTTGTTACCGGTTTGAAAGAACTTGCAGTTTTTTCCAAACAATATCTTCCAGGGAACGTGCTAGCTTGACATATGTTGGGCTGAGAAGCCCTAGGATCTTTGTAGAGTTTAAGGACTGAGTAGGATTTGTAATAGCGGAAGCGTTGTAATACAGAGTGGTTGAACCACCTTGCACTAGTATGTGAGAGCAAAGTAAGTTGATTAAAACAAGCAAGTACAAGGCTTTATATAAGAGTACAAGGAATACGAATAGATAAGATAACTGTCTTGCTGTAGCGATTCGATACAGTGCGACTCGGGCAACTGCTCAATGTCGAGTCAGTTGCGTGTCCTTGCTGTCGCGCTGTATTGGTCAAGTCAAAGGTCGCTGACCTTTGACCTTCGCGTAACCTCCAGGCGGTTACCCCAACCTCCGAGGGTTGACTCGCGATGCTTCGATTTGGACTGCTTCGCTTTGAGTCCTGAGCTTCGACACGACAGAGGCGTTTTAAGACTTATTGTTCCCAACACTCCCCTTCGCTTCTGGAGTGTCGCTGATGGTGACGTGGCTTTGTCCAGTCAGCAGCATGCAGTACTCGAACTTCTGTTTTCCGAGCTTCTTGGTCAAGTAGTCAGCTGCCATCTCGGACGTGGGACAGTAGGATAACTCGAGTCTTCCTTTCTCGATCTCGTCTTTCACGAAGAAGTATCGCAGAGCGATATGCTTCGTTCTGTTCGCGAATCCGTTTTTGTTGGCGATGCGAATTGCAGATTGGTTGTCGCAGTGCAGGGTGAAGCTGGGTAACTCAGCTAACTTTGCTTCTTCCAGCAGTTCGCGAAGGTAGAGTCCTTCCTTGGTGGCTGAGCAGAGGGCGATATATTCTGCTTCAGCTGAAGAGAGAGCGATTAGTTCCTGCTTACTCGACTGCCAGGAGATAGGCCCGATAGGCTCGAGACGATAGACGTAGCCGGTACGAGAACGCCTGTTATCAGAATCGCCGGCATGGTCAGCATCGACGTAGCCGATTAGTTTCGTCGTCGTAGCTTCGCCCTTGTAGTAAGTTAGGCCGATCGTCGGTGTGCTCACGAAGTAGTGCAGTGCGCGATCAAGCTCCGCCATGTGCTCAGCTTCGGGTTTCTTGAGATAGGTGGCGAGTTGACTCGCGGAGTAGGATAGATCCGGGCGACAGGTTACGGCTGCGAAGAGGAGGCAGCCTAGTTTCCTCTGGTAGTCTCGTATTCCGGCAGCCTTAAGTGGAGCGCGATTTCCTTTGCCGCTTCCTGTCGTGTGGCGGTATGGCGTGGCGATGGCGGTAGGCGTGAGAGAGAAGCGCTTGGCGATAGTATCGGCGTATTTCTCGGCGTTGAGGTAGATAGCATTTTCTTCTTCGCGGATGTTGAGCCCGAGATACTGGGTGACGGTGGAGGAGACGGTGAGCGTGAGGTCCTTCTGCAGCTCCCCTTCGAACCAGGTGATGACATCGTCGGTAGAGCCGATGTAAAGCAAGTCGTCGACATAGACGATCAGTAAGATGTAGTCAGCGCCTTTGGTGAGAAGATACATTCCTTGGTCGTGAGGCAGTTGTCGGAATCCGATGCGGGTGAGGCGGGTGTGTAGGTGCTGTTGCCACAGTCGCGGGGCTTGTTTGATTCCGTAGAGCGATTTCAGTAGTTGACAGACTTGGTTGGGGTTTCCGTGAGTGCCGTGTGGGAGTTCGACGAAGATGTCTGCGTCGACGGGTGCGTAGAGGAATGCGTTGGCGACATCGATCTGTCGCAGCTTCTTCTTCTTCATGGCGGCGACGGCGAGAAGAATGCGGAGAGAGGTATGTCGACTAACTGGGGCGAAGGTCTCGGTGAAGTCTCGTCCTTGTTCCTGGTCGAATCCACGCACGACCCAGCGTGCTTTGAAGATCTCGATTGTGCCGTCAGCTTTCGTCTTGATGCGGAAGACCCATTTCCCGGTGAGAATGGTCTTGTTCCGTGCCACGCTTGCGGGAACGACCTTCCAGGTGTTGCGTTCCTCCAATGCCTTTAATTCCCTGTCCATGGCTTCACGCCATTTTTCCCTGTGTTCCCCCCCCAGAGCCTGCTGAACTGTCGCAGGCTCTTTAGGAAGAGTGTTGCCGGCGGTCCCGTGGACTGCGGTGACGAGGCCAAGGATTTGTAGCCCAGTCTGTGAGTATCGAGGGAGTTCTGGATCCTCGGGATAAGCTGCTTCGTCTCCCGCTTCTGGGTCGGGGATGAAATTTGGCCCTATCCTTTCTGCTTCGTTGGTGTTGACTGTCGCAGGTGTTACGTAACCGTTGTCGGCGAAGTGGTAGAAGACTTCGGCGTTGTTACTGTCGCGAGGATTATCTTCATCCATGGGCACATCGACGGAGCAGTACGGGAGAGGTCCGGCTTCCTCCGATGCGTTGTCGACGTTCTGTTCATCCCAGTCTGCTTCGTCCGCTGCTGAGGCGAAGGCTCGGTCACCACGAAAGCCACCTGTGGGGTCCCGATTCTCGTGCAAGTTGGCGAGGTACGTCTGAAGGGTGAGTCGTTCGTAGAAGATCACATCACGTGCTGCTACTGTTTCTTTTGTGTGGACGTCGAAGATTCTCCACGCGTTGTAATTCTTTTCGATGCCGAGGTGTAGTCCCCACTGTGCCCGTTGCGAAAATCTTCCCGCTCGTGCTTCTGGGGGTCGGTACTGTACCATGCACCCGAAAACTCGTAACATTTTTGTGCTGCCCTGCTTCCCTGTCCACAGCAGATGTGGTGACGCGTTGTTCGGGAGTGACGACGATGAAAGCAAGTTGTGCAGCATGACAGCGTGGTCCATTGCTACAGGCCACTGGTGGTTGGGTAGCCGCATGCCACGCAACAGTTTGCGCATGCTGTTCTGCAGAGTCCTGTTCATTCGTTCTGCAACGCCTTGCTGCTGATGGGCGTAGGGAAGGGAGAGGAGTTGCTTGATTCCCCTTTCCGCCAGGTACTGCTTGAAGCGCTGAGAGGTGTACTCGCCTCCTCCGTCTGACTGGAAGCTTTTCAGCTTTGCTCCCGATTCCCTCTCTGCTACCGGTAGCCAAGCGGCGAATGCTGCGACTGCCATGTCGCGGCTGGGTAGGTTGCAATGCCAGACGTATCGAGTGGCGGCGTCGATGAAGGTAATCGTGTAATTATAGGTTACTTGGCCTGGTTCTCGATTGTAGAGGATGTCGCTGTAGACTTTTTCGAGTGGTGCGTATGCAGGTGCGCTCGGGTTGTGGTGAGAAGAAAAAGGTCGATGTGGTAAGTCGGCCTCGGGGCAGATGAGGCAAGTCCCCCGTGCACGTTGAAGTTCTCTGCCGTCGAGTAGTAGTAGCGAGTCTTTGTCTAGCACTCCTGCTCGTATCGTATTATTTAACACCGTGTTACTTGGATGTCCTGTGCGTGCGTGCCAGATGTCTTCGGAGGCGCGGTGTCCGGGTGAACGTTGATATGCGTCGGAGTTGGAGTAGAAGCTGGCGACGAAGTTGGCGCTTCTGTGAACTTCTCGTTGAGTCGGGTTCAGTTGCTGTGCGGGTGTTGGAGGTTCTTCTTCGACGATGACTGGTGTAGTTGGTCCTGCTGCTGCTGATGATGTTTCTGCTGCTGTCGATGTTGTCTCTGTTGCTGTCGACGTTGTCTCTGCTGCTGCCGATGTTGTCTCTGCTGCTGCCGATTGTCGAATTGTTGCTAATGCACGTGTTCGTTCTGCTTCAGGAATGGTGTGTGAGTACCAGAAACCTCCCGGGCTGAAGTCGGGATCGAGATCCGGGGGATGCGTCCAATCGGTGAAGTTGACGATGGCGTCGCTGTCGGCAGTGCCCAAGTCGGGGACAAAGTCGAGGACAAAGACATTGTTTTTCAACACCGCCTTTCCGATGTAGAGACCGCCCTTCCCGTGGTACAACTTGAACTCCTGGGTGGTGCTGTCAGCTTCCAAGTGTATTCCTTTCGCCATCAACTGGCTAACACTCAGTAAGTTGTAGCCGAGTCCCTCCGCGATAAGTACCTTTGACATGTGTAGTATGACGTTTGTTTCTCGTGACTGAAGCTGAACCACTCCTTGTCTTCGTGTGCGCAGGTTTTGATAGTTGGCGACCGTGATGACTACTTCTCGCTGGAGTCGATGCTCGCGTTGAACGAAGCGCCCGGAGGAGCACATGTGTTGTCCGCAGCAACTATCCAAGAACCAAGTGTCTTGGCCGGACGGTTCGCTTTGAGCGATGGCGGCGTACGTCGGATTCGGCTGGAGTGATTCGCGGCGAGGCGTCCTGTTGTCGAGCTCCTCTTCTGGTGAGTAGTAGGGTGGCGACTCTGTAATGCAAGAGTCGTTTATCTTGACCATGCAGTTAACAATATTTCTTGCTCCTTGTGCAGGTTGTCCAGATGAAGTCGTTGAAGCTTGGTGTGCGGTCGTCGGAGTTGCTTGCGTTGAAGCAACTTGGGAGCTTGAAGGCCGGAGTTGTCGCTGTGATGTCGTCTAACGAGATGGGCAATGCGTGCGAGGATGGCCCGAGGTTTTGCAGATGTGGCAGAACGGAGGTACTGTTTTCACTTGCTGTTGTCGATTGTTGTTGCCGTTGTGTCGTCGCTGAGTGTGAAAAGAAAATTCTGGTGCTAAAGCTTTCTTCTTGTGTCTTTCTTCTTGCAGGTCCATGTCCTGCTGCTCAGCATGAATTTTGGCGCAGAGTGCCGCTTCGGAGATCCTCCCGTGTGCTCGTAATATGGTGCGAGTGGAGCGCCAGTGGGGGCCGAGACCGCCGATGACCACCGTGACAAAGGCGTCTTCTGAAATTGACCCGCCGCATCGAAGAAGCTTGTCGCGCAGTTCGCGGCAGCGGCTGATATAAGCCATGCCTTTCTCGCCTGGTTTCATTTCAATCGTTGTCAACTGCGCCATTAACTGGCTTTGGTTTACGCTGTCTGTTGCTTGATACAGGTTCTTCAGGTGGTTGTACGCGAGCTCCGCGGAGTTGCCGTAGCCTCGGTAAGTCCTGATGTTCTGCTGCTGGGTTGGGGTGATGTTCCTCAGCAGAATCGTGTACGCCATCATCGATTGATATGTATACTGCTGCTTCTCATATTGTGTCCCGTTTGTCGGATATGGCAGGGACCCGTCGAAGAAGCCAAGAATCTGTGCTCCTTCCATCATCAGTTCAAACTCGAACGACCAGGTAAAGAAATCTTTGCCGTCGAAAGGCTTTGTCGTTTGTAGTTTTAGGACGTGCGCGAATTGCGATTGGACTTGTAACGCGTCCAATGTCCTTTCTTGTCCCGATGCAGGTTGCGGTTGCGGCATGAAGCTGACGGAGCCACGTTGGGGCTGGTACGGCGCAAAGGTAGGCTGCTGTTGTTGTTGTTGCATCCCGCGTGCATAGGATGAGCCGTCGAGGCTCATCGGAGTAACATTGTTGTTGTTGTTGCTGTTGTTTGACTGCGCAGGCACTCCTTGCTGGTGTTGCTCGTAGAAGGACATGAAGGAGAAAAATTTCTCCATCATGTTTGAATCGAAGCCTGCTGGTGTTTCCGTGGACCCAGCTGCTGGTCTTGCGGTAGTGCCTTCCTCTGTCTGTAGGCCAGAGGTAGGAGGTGGAGTAGGAGTAGTGCCTGGGGAGCCGTTGGAGGAGCTCCTCTCCTTCCTTGCAGACATGTCTTCTTTCTTTGTATTTAAGCATTGAGAGAAAATGATCTTAAACTCTAACTGCTCTCATACCATGTTGGGCTGAGAAGCCCTAGGATCTTTGTAGAGTTTAAGGACTGAGTAGGATTTGTAATAGCGGAAGCGTTGTAATACAGAGTGGTTGAACCACCTTGCACTAGTATGTGAGAGCAAAGTAAGTTGATTAAAACAAGCAAGTACAAGGCTTTATATAAGAGTACAAGGAATACGAATAGATAAGATAACTGTCTTGCTGTTGCGATTCGATACAGTGCGACTTGGGCAACTGCTCAATGTCGAGTCAGTTGTGTGTCCTTGCTGTCGCGCTGTATTGGTCAAGTCAAAGGTCGCTGACCTTTGACCTTCGCGTAACCTCCAGGCGGTTACCCCAACCTCCGAGGGTTGACTCGCGATGCTTCGATTTGGACCAGGGCAAATTTTTGGATTTGACATACCCTTAAGATCAGTGTACCCCTAGCTCAAAAAACTGATTATCAGTGTGACCCCCTATAGAAAAACTTTCCCATCAGGGTATTCTTAACTTTCTAAAAATTTACCCTGTCGCATCAGTGTAAGATTATTGTAAAGCCTGGTCAGTTTTTTTTAATGCTGCACGCAATACAGATCCTACTCATCATCAGACATGCCCCAAGGCTGTTCATCGTGGTCATTGTTGCTCCAGTCAGCCAAGTTTCCAGCCAACCTGGCCTTGTTGTCAAGTCTGACAAACATACCAACTAGCGGAGGTGGCGGTGCCAGCAAGGAAACTGTAACCCTGGCCAATAGTGGCCCTCTGTGTGCCAGCTCAGGAGTTGTCAAAGCCGAAATTCCGGCTTCAGTGGCCTTGGTGGAATCCCAGGTTACGGGAAAGTGGGGGTGGGTGAACCGGGGGGAGGGGGGGGGGGGTAGGTTACGCGTTACAGGGTAAAACTTGATACGGGATCCGTAAACCCTTGGCCATCAGTGTGCCTTACAAAAAAAACCTGACACATCAGGGTAAATCAACCTCCCCAAAAAAAAACCCTAGCCCATCAGTGTGACCATAAAAAACCACCCTGATTATCAGGGTATCAGGGTGATTTACACTGATAAAATTAGGCCTGATTTGGACTGCTTCGCTTTGAGTCCTGAGCTTCGACACGACAGAGGCGTTTTAAGACTTATTGTTCCCAACAACATAAAGGGGGCATCATCAATAGAGAGCAACTAGAGCACCGCTGCTGACAAGGACCCGGCAGTAGTGAAAATTTCCCTTTCACAGCACTCTACCCTGCTTGGCCTCAATGCTTAAAAATAAAATACCCCACTGTCAGGTTGTGTGGGCAGTGTGTGCTTTGGGGCATGCAAGTCCTGAAGGATATGGTAATCAAGCAAGATGCGAGTCCATTTGGGGAGTGATGCGGCGCGTGTGTACACATTGGGGGCATGACTGGCTTAAAGCTGTCAGCGGAGAGAGCTGTCGGTGCAGCCTGCAGTGCGGGGAGAGGGGGGACGAGAGGAGAGAAAAGGGAGGCTGGGCGAGGGGAGGAAGGGGGGGAGAGGACGGGAAGGAGAGGGGGAGGGGGAGAAGGAAAGGGGCAGGCAGAGGCACATGCAGAGTGTGGCGGATTGCAGCAACAAGCGGGGGGCAAGGAAAGGAGAATGTAAGTGGCACGATAGCTGCTAAAATGGGACACAGTGAGGGCATGGTGAGAGCGTACGAGTGGGGAGGATGGGTGCGGGGGAGTGTTGGGTGAGTCCCAGCAGCACCACCGCCTCCTCCACCAGTGCATGCTGAGTTGCCCGAAACACCTGCAGCACTCGCTCCGTGAGTGCTCCTCTCTGGAGCGTGCGCTGATGGTTGAAGGTGGGGGAAAGGGCGGAGGGAGAGAGAAAGGTGACTGTTGAGTCAAGTCGCGAGTTGCCCGGAACACTTGCTTTGTCAGCGTGCTCCCCTGCAGCGTGCGCTGATGGTGGTGGGCGACGGTGGGAAGAGGGGTGAGGGGAGAGAGAGAGGGCAAGGTAGGGAGAGGGATGTGGTGAGAGAGGGGGAGTGGGTGAGACATGAGGGGGAAATAAGGTGGGAAAAGAAACGGGGGGGGGGGGGGGCGGGGGGAGAAAAGGTGGGGCAGCAAGGGGTGGAGGTGTGGTGGCATCGCACATGCTACGGGAGGGGAGGGGGGGGGGGGAGCATCCAATTACCCAGCAAGCAACGCCCGAAGCCACCCAAACCTGAATAACAGCAGCGACTTACCCACAGCAGCGACTTACCCACAGCAGCGACTTACCCACAGCAGCGACTTACCCACAGCAGCGACTTACCCACAGCATCCGCACTCACCCACAGCAGCGGCACCTTACCCCACAGCATCCGCACTCACCCACAGCAGCGGCACCTTACCCCACAGCATCCGCACTCACCCACAGCAGCGGCACCTTACCCCACAGCATCCGCACTCACCCACAGCAGTGGCACCTTACCCCACAGCATCCGCACTCACCCACAGCAGCGGCACCTTACCCCACAGCATCCGCACTCACCCACAGCAGCGGCACCTTACCCCACAGCATCCGCACTCACCCACAGCAGCAGCACCTTACCCCACAGCATCCGCACTCACCCACAGCAGCGGCACCTTACCCCACAGCATCCGCACTCACCCACAGCAGCGGCACCTTACCCCACAGCATCCGCACTCACCCACAGCAGCGGCACCTTACCCCACAGCATCCGCACTCACCCACAGCAGCGGCACCTTACCCCACAGCATCCGCACTCACCCACAGCAGCAGCACCTTACCCCACAGCATCCGCACTCACCCACAGCAGCAGCACCTTACCCCACAGCATCCGCACTCACCCACAGCAGCGGCACCTTACCCCACAGCATCCGCACTCACCCACAGCAGCGGCACCTTACCCCACAGCATCCGCACTCACCCACAGCAGCGGCACCTTACCCCACAGCATCCGCACTCACCCACAGCAGCGGCACCTTACCCCACAGCATCCGCACTCACCCACAGCAGCGGCACCTTACCCCACAGCATCCGCACTCACCCACAGCAGCGGCACCTTACCCCACAGCATCCGCACTCACCCACAGCAGCGGCACCTTACCCCACAGCACCCGCACTCACCCACAGCAGCAGCAATACGATGTCTTCGGGAAGGCCCTGCAGCGACGAGACGTGGTGGATGTTTGCCACTATCGAATCAGTGCATAACGAGAACAGCCTGGGCGGGGAGGAGCAAGCGGTGGAGGCAGAGGAGGAGGAGGATAGCGCGGATGGTGCTGGTCGGACTGCCTCAGACCCCATGTGCCCCGCTCGTGCTGACTCTCGTGCCACGGCTGCTGATGGGGGCATAGGCTCACCGCCAGCTGCTGTGATTGATGGCCCTCCTAGGCTCACCACTCGCTCTTCGATTGAGTCACCTCTGCTTAGAATCACACTGAACCCGCCGTTTTTCGTCCCCAGCCCTCCCCCCCACCTTCCCCATTCTGCTCCTCTCACCGAGTTCCCGCCCCCCCTCCCCCTCCCCCTCTCCCCCACCCTCCCCCTCTCTTCCGCCCTCCCCCGCGCTCCCCCTTCTCTCTCACACGGCAGCATAGCCTCCTCAACCAGCGATCCCCACGGCGTCACTATCGCTCGCTTCGCGCTGCTCCCCCGCCCCCTCGCGTCACCTCCGCTTCCGCCACTACCAGCGCTGTGGTTTCCGCCCCGCCTTGCGCTCATCCTGCTCTCGCCATCGCCATCGTCCGGTGCCCCCGCCGGCACATCCCCGCCGCTGATGCTGCTGTGGCTGCTGCTGCTGCTGCCGCCGCCGTTACCTGCAGGGGCGGCGGCGCTACCCGCCGCTCCGCGCATCAGCGACGGCTGCGCGCGGCGGTACTCCTCGTCACCGCGCCAGTTGCGCTCTGCCGCTGTAGCGCTTTCATTCCGCTCTTTGGAAAAATCGGCATCCAGCGATGCAATCTCTCGTGTCTGACGAGCCAACGACAACTCTGACGCTGACGTTAACGTTGACGTTGACGTGGATGCTGACGCAAAAGTTGTCAAACCGTCCGGTTCTTTCTCCAGGCGCAAATCTACACCCGCCGCGCCAGCCCCCGACCCCACGTCATCCCCTTCCCCACTATCCGCCGCGCCCGCCCTGCCTCGCCCCTTTCCCTCCGCTAACCCCACACCCGCCCGCACATCTCTCTCCGCCGCAACGGCCTCCGCCCGCTCGCTGAGCGATTCTGTCGCTAGGGGGGCGTCGGCAGCCGGTGCTGGATCAACCAAACGAGGAGTCATTAGGTCGCGGAGTTATGAAACCGGTAAGCGATTGAAATCTGACCCCTATTTTACCGTGCCACCGAGGTTTATGAACTATGTCTGAGTTTAGTGGTCAGGAAGTGGTAGATTGTCAAACCAACTCGATAGCCGCTGTGCACCGTTTGAAATCAAGCTTTACCGTTTTTCACCATGATGAAACAAAATTAACCATACAAAACGAACCTAGGGACAAACACGCTGACCTCGGCATTAGCCTGTCACCGCATTGAACCAGCTTGCAACGTACAGCTTTTCGTTAATGACACCATAATGTGCAGTGGAGTTGGTTTTTCGACGCACCACTCAACTGCTGATCACCAGGCTCAACGTACAACCGCACCAACAGCGGACTATCACAACCAACTTAGTTTTGGGAGTGCTTCGTTCACGGTTGGCTGTAGTAGGCAAGAGAACAATTGCCGCATGGCGGACGAGCAGACATTGCGCGGCACGACGGCGATTGCAGTTTGTTGAAGCGCTATACGCTCGCGAAAAGCACGCTCTGCGATAGTGGTCCGCGAGGCGCCTCGAATTGCAAAGCTCGCAGCTCCCCAACCGTCAATTGCGTCATTCCCTCACGCTCTCTCAAATGGATTCGTCTGGCGGCGGCGGCGGCGGCGGCGATCACGCCGCCATGCGATCCGTCAAGACGAAACGAGTCGTCGCAAATGGCCCGTCGCACGCTCCGTCGTCGCGCATCGGCGGCGGAGCGTCGTCGCCGCGAGGCGATCGCCAGGCGACTCTCTGGAGCTGCATAGATTGCTGCGGCTCACGGGAACCCGGCTCCCCCCGTTATAAGCGCCCTCGCGCAGTCACATTGACGTTAGCACTACTATTCGCGCTTCTTCTATCCGCCTTCGTTCTTCTGATCATACGATGGCCGCTGGAAGAGAGCTTCTTGCACTCTTATCTCGGAACCGGGAGGGCTGCTCCAGTCGAGTGCATCCCGAATGCAGCCCAGGGGTTCAGCGGCGAGGGCGTATTCGCGAAGCGAGAAAAGAAACAACAGAAAAAGCAGCTGAATCAAGCGCAGCAGCAAGAACAACATGAGGAGGAGGAGGAGGAGAAGTTACCGAGTAACCACGTGCAGCTGTTCGATCAAGAGGAGGAGGAGGGCAGCGGAACGGAGCAAGAGAGCGGCGCAGCAGCGACGCGGCCGTTCGTGTACGTGTATGACCTGGGGAAGCAGCTGACGTCCAAAGTGCTGAAGCTGGAGCTGGAGTGGTACTCGGAGCAGTACGATTTAGAGAAGCACTTAACGGAGATGCTTATGAGGCGTACAGACAACCCCGTGCGCACCATGGACCCCGAGCAGGCGTCGCTGTTCTTCGTGCCCTTCTACGTGTCGCGCTACCTCTTCTCCTTCTTCCATAATGACAAGAAGAACATGCGGCAGTGCATCGAGAAGAGCTCACGGGTGGGTCAATTGCGGTGCATTTGGTAGTAAGGCAAGCAGCCCTACACTCGTGCCCTTCTACGTGTCGCGCTACCTCTTCTCCTTTCTTCCACAACGATTGGACGAACATGCGCCAATGCATCGAGAAGAGCTCACGGGTGGGTGGTGGTGGTGAGGCACGGTAATTATCGCTAGCAGGGCAGGCTGGCAGAGGGAGCCGTATGCTTGTGGAGATCCTTATTTTTTTGTTATCAAAGAAGCATCATCATGGGTATCACACACGCGTGTGCAGGTGCATCAGCAGCTGGTGGTGAATTTGTTTGTGAGTGCCGTGTTGTGGGAACAGCAGCCATGCTTAGTACTTTTCAGAAGAGAGCCGATTGATTCTTCTTCAGTCAACTCAAAATACAAAGCACGCACAGAGTGCGTCAGTCAATTATTGGACAGGTTATTTGTGAACGAGGCGGGAGGGAGCAGAGATTGCTAACTGCCTGTTGGCCATGGAAGTCATTCTTACATTGCCACACATGCACGCCTCTCCTCACTCGGGTGACAAAGTTTGTTCCGAATTCAGATCTTGCGATTTTGGCAAGGCTTGCCACCCACACCCCGGCCATACCTGCACCTTCCCCACCCACTCACCCTCTCACTGCCTTCCTTCCCGTTCTCGCTCCCTCCCACTCCTCGTTTCTCTTCCTTGCCCGACCTTGCTCGTCCCAACCCCATTCCCCACCCTCGTGGACCCACCAGGCATGGACGAAAGTCCTGAAAGCCGTCCGCACCACCTTCCCCTACTTCAACCGCACCAACGGCCGAGATCACTTTGGCATCCTGACGCTCGATCACGGCCGTTGCCACTCGCTCACGTTTGCGGATCCACGGCTGGTGGGCGAGATGTTCTTCGTCACGTACAATGGAGACAAGCTCGTGCGCAGTGACCATGCTGCTAACGATCCCAGCATGCAGGTAGGTAGCCCATGGGGATGGGGTAGGTAGCCCATGGGGATGGGGTAGGTAGCCCATGGGGATGGGGACATCCGACATACCTTCATGTATTGTCACGACGTGTTATCCCATTCCTTTCAACACAAAGGTAGCAACCCTAGCATGCAGGTAGCAACCCTAGCATGCAGGTAGCAACCCTAGCATGCAGGTAGCAACCCTAGCATGCAGGTAGCTACCCTAGCATGCAGGTAGCTATGGGGAAGTCACCATGACACATAAGTACCATTAATTTCAGCATGCAATGCAAGTACCCGAGCATGCAGGTAACCTATCAGGATGTCATCATGTTTTGTCCCATACATTTTAACATGCATACCTCAACATGCAATTTCCTCCATTCCCTCCATCCCCTCCCGTCCCTTCCCATCCCTTCCCAACCCCTCCCATCCCCTCCCATCCCCTCCCGTCCCTGCCCATCCCCTCCCAAGCCACATCCACATTCCACACAACCCCCCTGCTCTGCCTCCGCCCCCTCACCGCTCATCGTTGCAGCTGTTACCTTAGAGCAATCGCTTCATCCCCACACCACACCACACCACACCACACCACACCACACCACACCACACCACACCACACCACACCACACCACACCACACCACACCGCTACCTCTCGCTCCCTTCCTCAACCCCTCACCTCCCCTCGCCCCTCCCCCCCCACCCCCCCACCCTGCAGCTCTTGTCATACCAGTACAGCGTGCCAGCAGACCCCACCATCCCCTCCATCCCATGCTACATGCCGGACAGAGACATCCCTGTGCCCGTGGTTGTGTGCGCCCAGGTGGCCTTTGTGTCTTCCCTGGCCTCACCCACCCCCCTCCCCTCGCTCACCCCCTGCAGCTCCTATCATGTCAGTACGGTGCACCAGAACACCCCACCATCCCATGCTACACGCCGGATCGGGACATTCCAGTGCCTGTTATCGTGCGGCCCAGGTGCCCTTCATCTCAACCATAGCCTCACCCCCCCCACCCCCCCACTCCCCCATCCCCTCCCCCTGCAGCTCTTGTCATACCAGTACGGCGTGCCAGCAGACCCCACCATCCCCTCCATCCCATGCTACATGCCGGACAGAGACATCCCCGTGCCCGTGATCGTGCGCGGCCAGGTGCCCTTCGTGTCTCCCTTTGCCACGCCGCGCAAGTGGACGGCTATTTTCCGCTTCGTGGCGTCGCCTCACAAGCACGTGCTGCTGGACGTGCGCAGCAGAATCATCCAAGTAAGAGGGGGGAGGGGGGGAGGGGGGGGGTGGGGGGAGGAGATTGCACTGCCTGCTCCACTGCACGCGCAGGTGCCCTTTGTGCCGCCCCTGGCCTGGCCGCGCAGGTGGACGGCCATCTTTCGCTTGGTGGCATCGTCACACAAGCACAAGCACGTGCTGCTGGATGTGCGCAGCAGAATCATCCAAGTGAATAGGGGAGGAGGGGGAGGAGGTGTTGCAATGCATGTTGCACTGCATTCAGGTCAGCACACCGGGCGCTGCATTCAGGTCAACACACCGGGCGCTGCATTCAGGTCAGCACACCGGGCGCTGCATTCAGGTCAGCACACCGGGCACTGCATTCAGGTCAGCACACCGGGTGCTGCATTCAGGTCAGCACACCGGGCGCTGCATTCAGGTCAGCACACCGGGCGCTGCATTCAGGTCAGCACACCGGGCGCTGCATTCAGGTCAGCACACCGGGCGCTGCATTCAGGTCAGCACACCGGGCGCTGCATTCAGGTCAGCACACCGGGCGCTGCATTCAGGTCAGCACACCGGGCGCTGCATTCAGGTCAGCACACCGGGCGCTGCATTCAGGTCAGCACACCGGGCGCTGCATTCAGGTCAGCACACCGGGCGCTGCCTCACAAGCACGTGCTGCTGGACGTCTCAGGGTGCTCACTGCGTGCACTGAGGGTGCTCACTGCGTGCACTGAGGGTGCTCACTGCGTGCACTGAGGGTGCTCACCGCGTGCACTGAGGGTGCTCACCGCGTGCACTGAGGGTGCTCACCGCGTGCACTGAGGGTGCTCACCGCGTGCACTGAGGGTGCTCACCGCGTGCACTGAGGGTGCTCACCGCGTGCACTGAGGGTGCTCACCGCGTGCACTGAGGGTGCTCACCGCGTGCACTGAGGGTGCTCACCGCGTGCACTGAGGGTGCTCACCGCGTGCACTGAGGGTGCTCACCGCGTGCACTGAGGGTGCTCACCGCGTGCACTGAGGGTGCTCACCGCGTGCACTGAGGGTGCTCACCGCGTGCACTGAGGGTGCTCACCGCGTGCACTGAGGGTGCTCACCGCGTGCACTGAGGGTGCTCACCGCGTGCACTGAGGGTGCTCACCGCGTGCACTGAGGGTGCTCACCGCGTGCACTGAGGGTGCTCACCGCGTGCACTGAGGGTGCTCACCGCGTGCACTGAGGGTGCTCACCGCGTGCACTGAGGGTGCTCACCGCGTGCACTGAGGGTGCTCACCGCGTGCACTGAGGGTGCTCACCGCGTGCACTGAGGGTGCTCACCGCGTGCACTGAGGGTGCTCACCGCGTGCACTGAGGGTGCTCACCGCGTGCACTGAGGGTGCTCACCGCGTGCACTGAGGGTGCTCACCGCGTGCACTGAGGGTGCTCACCGCGTGCACTGAGGGTGCTCACCGCGTGCACTGAGGGTGCTCACCGCGTGCACTGAGGGTGCTCACCGCGTGCACTGAGGGTGCTCACCATGTGCACTGAGGGTGCTCACCGCGTGCACTACGGGTGCTCACGGCGTGCACTGAGGGTGCTCACTGCGTGCACTGAGGGTGCTCACTGCGTGCACTGAGGGTTCTCACTGCGTGCACTGAGGGTGCTCACTGCGTGCACTGAGGGTGCTCACTGCGTGCACTGAGGGTGCTCACTGCGTGCACTGAGGGTGCTCACTGCGTGCACGGAAGGTGCGTGCGTGCGTGCACTGCCCAATCGCTAGACTCATACGTTGGCAGATACGCCCTTGGGGGGTGGGCGTATTGCGTATATACGCTAGCGTATGTACGCAATACGCTAATACGCCTGGAAATCCTAAAATACGCCGGGGCAGCCCGGTAAAAAAAAAAAACTCCATAAAAAATTGCAAGAATTTGAGACAGCGAGAATTGAACCCTCGACCTCGCACAGAGCCCAACTCCTGTCTGCAATTCGAAATTCAAAATTTCCTCCCACATCCCCAACCACACACCACCCCTCTCAACCTCCCAAACCCAACCTCCCCCCTTTCACTTGTTCGAACATCTCAATCCCTAAACAGCTCCTCTTTCATTCTATCCCGCATTTCTCATCTTGCGTTTTGTCCGACTCTCGTCGAGCTCAAACTCTCCTAGCTTTAGTTCTTCCTCGCCATGGCGACCCCTACTCCCTACAGTTCGAGGGCGAAATCTGCCCGGGAAAAAGTTTTTTCCTGCCCGTCCAGCGTATTTTAGCGTATCAGCAGTACGCCAACCATGGCGTATGGCGTATATACCCAGCGTATAATACGCTAGCGTATTATACGTGATACGCGTATCTGCCAACTATGACATAGCAACCATGCAGGGTGCATGGCAGGAGGGAGGGCCATGTTGCGACGAAGCCACAAGAGGACGGACGACCACGAATTGCCACCAAATCACACACTCCTCTTCCTTCCTCGACCCCCCCTCCCCTCTTCCCCTCCCCCTCCCAGGCAGCCAAGGCGGACTTGGACTGGGGTGGGACATGTTTCCAAAGAGCGAGGAGAGGACGGACCAAGACTGGCAGCAACACACACCCCCCTCCCCCCCTCTGCTCTTTTCCCCTTCTCTTCTCCTCCTCTTACCAGGTAGCCAAGGAGGACATGGCACCGGGGTGGGACATGTTCCCCAAGAGCGAGGAGAGGACGGACCAGGACTGGCAGCACAGCGTCTTCTGCATCTGCCCGCCCGGCCACTCCCAGTGGACCAGCCGCCCCTTCAAGGTGCGAGTTGCTGCAGCAGTGGTAACCATACTGTGATTGTAATCCAACCATAAAGTAAAACCTACTTAGTAAGCTGCCTGCTGGACCACTCCCAGTGGACCAGCCGCCCGCAGATGCCTCAATGCCAGCCGCCCCTACTGCCGCGCAGTAGACTGGTTATCACGTGTGGAGACGGAACGCTTTTCAAGCTACAGATATGATCTCCATGCCAGCTGATGCCACTAAGAAGGACCCACTATTGCTCATTATTGCGCTCCCTGAAGTCACATGCTGTATAGCGTCACATGCTGTATAGCGTCACATGCTGTATAGCGTCACATGCTGTATAGCGTCACATGCTGTATAGCGTCACATGCTGTATAGCGTCACATGCTGTATAGCGTCACATGCTGTATAGCGTCACATGCTGTATAGCGTCACATGCTTGCCTACTGTTGGGTTTACTCAAAAGTCCCTTCCCCCCCACCCCCCGGACCCCCTCTCCCCTTATCCCCCCCCTCCTTCCCGCTCCCTTGCCGGCCGCCAGGCGTTCATCTCAGGGTGCATCCCAGTGACGTTTTTCCGCGAGCACGGCAACCCGTGGCAGCGCTCCCTCGGTGAATCTTGAGTCGACTGAAGGGTGCCTATCTCCCTCATCCTCTTCTTTCCCGCCATTCCCCCCCACTACCCCCTGGCTGCCTGCCAGGCGCTCATCTCAGGGTGCATCCCAGTGACGTTTTTCCGCGAGCATAACCCGTGGCAGCGCTCGCTCGGTGACTCTTGACTTGACTCACAAGTCCCTTCCCCTTCCCCCTGGTCCCTCCCTCTGCCACCCACCAGGCGCTCATCTCAGGGTGCATCCCGGTGACGTTTTTCCGCGAGCACGACAACCCGTGGCAACGCTCCCTCAACTACGATTCGTTCTCCATCAACATCGACCCTGATGACGTGCCGTCCATGCGAGCCAGGCTGGAGCAGGCAGACGTGCCGAGGCTGCAGAAGGGTGTAGAGAAGGTGCAGGTGCGTGCCTCTGAATGCTCATGTAGAGTTATGCAGCAGGTGCAGGTGCATGCATGTCAACATCGACCCGTGGCAGCGCTCTCTCAATTACGATACTTTCTCTGTGAAAATCGACCCTGATGACGTGCCGTGCCGTCCATGCGATCCAGGCTGGAGCAGGCAGACATGCCCATGCTACAGAAGGGCGTAGGGAAGGTGCAGGTGCATGCAGCAGGTGCAGGTGCGCCTCTGTGATTCATGAATGCTCATGTAGACTTATGCACAAGATGCTGGTGAATGCAGCAGGTGCAGGTGCGTGCGCGTGTGTGTGTGATTCGTGAATGATAATCTGGACTTTCATCCGATCATATCCAATTGGTTAGCCATCTCACTGTGCCTTGTGACTCCATTGCCATTCTGCCTCACATCAGGCGCTCTTCCGGTGGTCCGGGTCGTGGAGTGAGGGAGCAGAGTCGATGTTGCTGCAGGAGCTGAGAGCTAAAGTGGCATTCTTACATCGGTTTAAACAAGACTGAACAAGCTGGGTGTTAGAATGCCAAAGTACAATCGAAAAATAGAGTGTATCTCCCACCAGATGCCTTGTCTTCCAACTTGTCTTCCAAAGTGCAATGTCAATCCTGTTGGGAACAAATAAGTTAAGCGCCTCTGTCGTGTCAGAACTCAAGACAAAGCGAAGCAGCTCAAATCGAAGCATCGCGAGTCAACCCTCGGTGGTTAACGTAACCGTCGGAGGTTACGAGATGGTCAAAGGTCAGCGACCTTTGACCTGACACAGCGCGACGGCAAGGACAAACAACTGACTCGACATTGAGCAGTTGCCCGAGTCGCACTGTATCAGGCCGCAACAGTAAAAGTAGTTATAATGTCTATTCATATTCTCTGTACTCATCTATTTATATTCCTGTATCTCTTTGCTTTAATCAACTAACTTTGCCCTCACATACTAGCGCAAGGTGGTTCAACGACTTTATTTCAACGCTTCCGCTATTACAACACCTACTCAGACTTTAACTCTACAAAGATCCTAGGGCGTTTCAGCCCAACATGGTATGAGAGCAGTTAGAGTTAAAAATCACTACCCTTCAACACTCAGTACATCAAGAAGACATGTCTGCTAGAAAGGAGAGGAGCTCCTCCAACGGCTCTCCCGGTACCGTATCGCCCCGGATATAACCGCAGGCCTATGTTAAGCGCATGCGCTTCTATCTGGAGCAATGCGCTTATGGCCGATCCTCAATTAAAAGCGCACCCTCTAAAATAACCTTACTTATTATAAGCGCACCTTGCTGTATAGACAAGAACGTCTGTTGTTTTTTTTCACTTTCTTTACAACCTTCGTACAAACTACATTACTCTAGCTAAAAAAATCAACTAAAAATTTCCAGTCAAATACATTAGACTACCATCTTAGCCTACACAACATTTTTAAGTTTAGTCTAGCCTAAGGCCTACTCCTCATCCGACTCAGGCTCCGTGGAGTTGTTGCCAAAGAACCCGTCTGCTTGGATGTCGTCATCAACCTCTACCTCGTGGGATAGCTGACCTCTCCGGTGCGCCAGCACCAGTCCGTCTTCACTCCCGTCAAGGGCATTGCTGATGCCGTAGGTGAGGAACGCTCTCTTAATCAGGTCGGCGGGCACAGCTTTCCACGCCCGTGAAATCCACTTGAGCACCACCTCCGGAGATGGTTTCTTAATGTTCCCTGCACCACATACACGGGGGTGGGAAACACGTGGGTCCACAAGTAGGCAGACATACAGACGAAGCGGTCACGGGAGAACATTTTTGCGTACCTGCGGGTGTCAGGATGTTCATGCCGTCCTGCTCGAACCAGGTCTGGTACTGCTGCCGAACACTCGCCTTGAAGCTTTTATTGACCGACACATCGAGCGGCTGCAAGTCTGCCGTGCATCCCGCTGGGATGACCGCCGGCACGATGTTGAGTTCCGCGAACTTCGCCTTGACTTCGGGTGTCAGGTGTCCACGATAGGAGTCGAGCACTAGCATGGCGCTCCGGCTCTGCAATCCGAACTTCGGTTTCAGGAACGGCACCACGCCTGCACCGAGCCACTCGATTACGCCCGAGGCCTCCATCCACCCGTTAGCTTGGCAACCGACCACGACATCTGCATACAAGCAAGCGGTGGTTAGATTTTACTTTTGTTTTTCCCCTCGGAAACAAGCGCATACGCAGTTTCTTACCGTTCGGAAAGTCACCCTTTGGGAGGGTCTTGCGCTTGAAAAACACCCACGGCTTCAACTTCTCGCCCATCGCCGTGCACGCCAGCATCACAGTGACTCTCTCTTTCTGGTAACCACCACTGCGGATGGGCACCGACTTCACGCCCGTCTGCTCCACCGTGGTAGTCGCCGGCATCTCCAGCCACAAAGGCGTCTGGTCGACATTGATGATGTAACGATTGTCGATGTCGTAGTCGTGGCGTGCGTCGCGGACAAACTGCCAAAATTCCTTGCACTGCTTGGCCACATCTGCGCACGGGGAGGGAGGAACGGTTACAAGGGCGGATGAGCACCGCTACAGATAAACAAACATTGGCAAGAAAGTACTGAAATGCAAGATAAAATTTCACGATAGGATGGCAGTGCACGGACAGGCACTTACGCTGCTGTGTCTTTTGCGCCACCTTTGTTTTCATGCGCACGGTGAGATTCCACCGCTTGCGGAACCGCTCCGTCCAGCGCTGACTCGCCTTCCACTTGACGTCCGGGAACAACACCTTCATCACCTCTTTTGACCACTCTTGCAGCCGGCCGACTGATACTGCCACACCGCGGCGTCGCCAGTCCAGGAGTTGGGCGTACACCTTCATCTCCATGGGTCTGTACCAGGAAGACCTTCCGCGCCCATGAAGTCGACACCGAGCCCTGTGTGCAGCCTTGAGCTCCTCCGCTTGGTTTTTCCACTCTGTGAGGCATTTGCGGTGTATGCCGGACTCCCGCGCGACCTCGCTTACCGATGCAGCAAGCTCCAGCCGAACAAGGCACTTCAGTTTCTCCTGGGCGGTGTAGCGCTGCCGTTTGTGTTGAGTCGGCTTGTGCCTGGGAGAGGGGGGGCGGGCATCACGGTTCTCAGAGGAGGGATGGGGTCGTTTTTTGTTAATCGACGGATACGTTGGTATCGGCATCTTCTCGCGTGGTGCGTCGCGCCACCAAGACTCCACACCGTCGTCGTCCGCGTCTGTAGGTTCACGATCTGGGAACACGTCCTCCTCGGCGCCCTCTTCACCGTCGACTCCACCGTCGACTCCAGCATCGACGTCGCATGTGGGTTGTTTATCGGCGGCCACGTCATCGTCGGCGCCCACAGCCGACTCGTCCCACGTGCAGGCTTCAGGATTTCCCCACCGAGGTGCAATCGGCAGACCATTGATCTGCCTAGCCTTGGGTGTGTCCGGTTCAGACAACCACTCGTCGAAAGTGGCAGGCAACTATAACTGGAGCACGGGCCGATGGTGACCCCACGCGTCAGGAACAGGAGGAGTCGGAGGATTCGGAGGAGCGGGAGGAGCAGGAGGAGCAGGAGGTGCAGGAGGAGCAGGCGGAGTAGGCGGTGCAGGGGGTGTAGGTGGCACTGGAGGCGCTGGTGGCTCACGTGTATACCACCCGTCCGAGGTTAGTCGCCAGGCGCGGGTTGGTTTCTTCTTGAAAAGGAGGTGCGTCCCACTGAATTCCGCCATGGCTTTGCCAGCCAGGCGGGCTAGACTAGAAACTGAATGAAAAAATGAGTAGGAGGGTGCAGAATTGGGCAACGACGGGGACCCCTGCGGGCTAGCGGCTCGGGGTCCTCGTCAATGACAGGCAGGAAACCCCCACCTACCCCCGTAGAGGAATCTGCGTGGCAGCATATTCGCTGCGCTGGCAGGGAATCTTCCCCACCCTTCGAGAGGGTTCGGAAGAAATGCAGATGCCACGCAGCGCATGCGGCTGTGATTGGGCCGCACGGCAATATCCTCGTCACTCTTATCACGTTCGATGGTTCTAGACAACTTTGTGCGGTGGGAAACCGAACCGCAGCTGTTTTTGCTTGAAAACCATGCACGATCCCACTTGTTCCATGGTCCGTTGGATTCGCCTTTTTGCGGGCTTCAGTTTAGTATGTTTAAAAGTGAATTTCATTTTTTCCTTATTATAGGCGCATGCGCTTATACAGACACCTCAATTAGAAGCGCACCCCCCCAAAAAACACTGTTTTATTATAAGCGCACATGCGCTTTTATCCGGGGTAATACGGTACTACCCCTACTCCACCTCCTGCCTCTGGCCTACAGACAGAGGAGGGGACAACGACGAGACCAGCAGCTGGGTCTACGGAAACACCCGCAAACCAAGGCGCGGGCCTCGATCCAAGCATGATGGAGAAATTCTTCTCCTTCATGTCCTTCTACGAGCAGCACCAGCAAGGAGTACCTGCGCAATCAAACAACAGCAACAACAACAACAACGTGACGCCTATGAGTCTCGATGGCTCATCCTACGCACGCGGGAATCAACATCAACAACCTACCTTCGCTCCGTACGAGCCCCAGCGCGGCTCCGTCAGCTTCATGCCGCAACCACAATCTGCACCGGGACAAGAGAGAGCACTGAACGCATTACAAGTTCAGTCGCAATTCGCGCATGTTCTAAAACTGCAAACGACAAAGCCTTTTGACGGAAAAGACTTCTTTACCTGGTCGTTCGAATTCGAGCTGATGATGGAAGGAGCGCAGATCCTTGGCTTCTTTGACGGGTCCCTGCCATACCCAACAAACAGCACACAGTATGAGAAGCAGCAGTACACTTATCAATCGATGATGGCGTACACAATACTACTGAGAAACATCACACCGACTCAACAGCAGAACATAAGGCCTTACCGAGGTTACGGCAACTCCGCGGAGCTCGCGTACAACCATTTGAACAACCTGTATCAAGCAACAGACAGTGTAAACCAAAGCACGTTAATGGCGCAGCTGACAACAATAGAAATGAAACCAGGCGAGAAAGGCATGGAGTATATCAGTCGCTGTCGCGAGCTGCGCGACAGGCTGCTTCGATGTGGAGGATCAATTTCAGAAGACGCCTTCGTCACGGTTGTATTCGGCGGTCTCGGCCCTTACTGGCGCTCCACTGGCGCCATACTAAGAGCACACGGGAGAATCTCCGAAGCAGCACTCTGCGCCGAAATCCATGCCGAGCAGCAGGACATGGACCTGCAAGAAGAACGACATAAGAAGAAAGCGTCAGTACCAGAGTTCGCGTTTCACACCCAGCGACGCTACAACAACAATAACAATCGACAGCAACAACAACCGAAGCCAGTACCTCCATTTTGCCATATCTGCAAGACTTCAGGGCATCCTCGTACGCACTACCCGTATCGTCATCAATCGACAACACCACAGCGACAACTTCGACCTTCGAGCAGCCAAGTCACTTCGACGCAAGCAACCCCAACAACTTCAGTCCAAGCTTCAACGACTTCAACAGGACAACCTGCGCAAAAGCCAAGAAA